GTTCCTTTTCACTATCACTCAATCTTTTGTTCTCGACTGTGAGCTTAGCAATTATTTTCTCTGAATTGATTATTTTAATGTTAGAGCAAGTCTGCTTTTCTCTCAATTTGTTATAGATACCATAGGATCTATCAAATTTTTCTTCTAGCTCCTTAATTTTATCGTGTGTGTCAGTTCTAGAGCAAGAATAAACAAAAGGATTAGGGGTACTTACATCGCGGTTCGCGTCCACATTTTCTGCAGTGAGAGAAATCACAGAATCAACAACAGAAGAATTTGTCTTTTCTGCATCCTCATCAGCAACGGAACTCTGGTCTTCTTCATTTTCAACAATAGCCATTAAAGCCAGATTTTCCTCATCATCAGAGTCATCCATCCAATGGCCCTTCTCTGCCATGAGAGCGTTCTTGTCGCTGCCTTCTTCCATAGCCAGTAGCATTCTTTTCTTGTTCAGATTGATTTTCTGCTTGTAATATTCAGCGTCTTTCCTCCTTTTGGGCATCCTGAGATCCTTCATTAGATGTCCAGTCTTCCCACAGTTGAAGCACTTTGTAGCATCCTCAGCATTTCCAATCTCAGAAGATTCAAATGAACGTTCTTTTCTCTTGTTGTTGTTGGTTGAAGTTTTGCGGAGCTTGTTATTTGAGGAGTTCTTCTTTTTCAGTATCTGATTGTTGAACCTTGAAGTAAGAAGTGTTATCTGCTTTTGAAAGTCACGCAGTTCATCATCACTTTCAGTCTCATCCCAGAACCCGATATCACTATCAGCACTCTCACTTTCTTCAATCTTCATTTTATCTTTCTTAGATCTGGATTTGGAAGGTTTGTCAAACATAAGTGCAAGTGTATCCGCCAGCTTTTCAACTGCATCTTTGCCCTTTTCGTCCATCACGGTAGTGTGTACATAGTCAGAAAAATCTTCAGCATACTGATCAAAGGTATTGTACACAGCATGAATGTCCATATCATCCATATCTTTGATGTGTCTTATCTGAGAGCATAGTTTCTTCCAATCAGGTCCTAGAGCTGACAAAAATGTCACGTTTAGTTCCATGTTTGACTTGTGAACTCCAATCTTCCTCATTTCATTAATTAGCTAAAGAAATCTGAGGTAAGTATCTTCAAGTGATTCTCCGAGTTTAGCTTTGAAAGAATCATAAGCAGTGAAGGTGCTTGCTTTCTTGGCTTTGACACCTATTTCAGTTCCTTGCATAATTTTGAAGATCTCGTCCCACATTTCTTTCGCAGTTGACATGCTATCAATTTTCATGTAGATGTCATTGGGTATAGCTTAAAGATAGGTCTTTGCTAGCAAGTCAGCACACAGTCTAGCTCTGTCTTCGTCATCATATTCATCCACTGTTTTTGGTCGCAGCTCAACTTCCATAGCTGGGTTGTTAACTTCATTTCTTTCAATAGCAATCAGTAACTGAGCAGGTCCATTAGTGATAGAATCCAGTAAACCAGAAGATTGATCTTTGCTTTCGAGAAAGTTAAGGAACCTGTTCTTCCAAACATTGTACTCTCCTCTTCTTAGGATTGGGGGTCTAGTGTCGTTTCCAATTGAAAGAGCATCCATCTTTTGGATCGGGCTGATCTGTTGATTGTTTAGTGTCTGTCTTAGTTTGTAGAGTTCTTTGAGCAGAAGGTTCATATAATGGTAACTTCACCTGTTTGAAAATTTTGCACAGAGAATAGTGCACAACAGAATGTCTCAGCACTTAGAATTGCGCACGGCTACAAATCTCGCACACAGAGAATGGCGCGTAGAAGAATGGCGCACGACTGTGTAAATGGCGCACGATTCTTTAGCAAATGGCGCAGGAGACTTTTAGCAATTTGGCGCACGAGAGATTTTGAGAATTGCTCATGAGAGATTTTATGAATAGCTCATGAGAGATTTTGAGAATGGCTCATGAGAGATTTTGAGAATAGCGCATGAGAGATTTTGAGAATAGCTCATGAGAGATTTTGAGAATAGCGCAGGGAGAACTTCACGTCTATGTTTCACGCATGAAACTTTAAGCGAGTTAAGTGTCTTCCTCACCCAGATGCGTTATTCTGCAGAATCGCTCTTCCTCTGCTTGACATGTACGCCGATGATATTGCTGAGAAAAAATACAGAGAATGATCCTAGCAGTTACAGAAACATAATCCTTCATACATTTTTCTGCAAAATCATCAAACAACAATAATATTCAAATCACTCATTAGAAGAAACAGGCGATGAAGTTTGGCGCAAGCTTCTTCTTCTCCGCTTCAATCGGTCGATCAGTCCCTCTCTGATACCAATTGTTGGTCCCTTTGATCTACACTACAATAATGTATGAAGATGGATATGAATAAGTGTATTGGAAGCTTTCATTGATGGCTAGGAAGTTTACAGAATGATGTTGGAGAAGTTAGCGTAAAACCTCCGTAGCCTAGTCTAAGTATGCGCAGGGATGAATGAATGAAAAGCCCCTCTCACAAACTCTCTCCAAAACAATCTTCTATGTTGGAACAACCTCTCCTACACATTCTACATAGGGTCTATTTATAGCCCTTTGTAGAATGCTAGGTTACAAGCATTGGGCTTCCATAATAAAGAGGCACATTCCCTTTAGGAATGTAGCCTTTACCTAAAATAGCTTATCTAATAAATTATTCTACTAGGCTTTATAAAATACAATGGATCACAATCAAAAATATCTCTAACAAGGGACCAACATGCCTTATCTTCCGATTCAAGAAAAATGCAAGTGACAGCTATGAAAACTTTTTGTTGTATTAAAACACACTTGATTTTTTGTTTCGATATGTCAAATGGGTTAGCCGTACTTACTGTTGGGGATGGTGGCCTGGATAAAATCAACCGACAGTCCACAAGGAAAGGGGGAATAAAATTAAATCTGGAGGCACCCGGTTCACCAAGGATGTTTATGACCAATTTACCTTAGCCACCCAAAAATTGGGATTTTCTAGAAGGTTGACTTCCGTTGACCTTGTGTTGACTGGCGGTTGACCGGCATAGTCTGTCCAAAGAGATGGTCCACAGCTACTGCAGCCCAGCAATCCATGTCCAGCTCCAGTCCAGCTGCTCAATTAACCTAAGCCCAGAAGCACAGTGGCCCAAAACTGCAGCACCCGTCCAGCAACCCAGTAGCTCCAGCAAACCAGGTTCAACCCAATGATCTAGAAACCCAACAGACTGGTTCGGACTTCAGCCCAGCAGCCCAAAAGCAGTCCAGGCCCGCTGCGGTCCAGAGAGCTTTCTTCTTCAGCGTTCAATTTCCGTCTCTAGCGAGCGACTGGTTCCAGCTCTCTGCAACCTTCGGTCAATTTCAGCAGAGGACGCACTGTAGCGACAGATTCTAGGCGGGCGGCGTCTCCAGTGGTGACTTCGACGGCCATGAGCAAAGTTTGATCCCCAGCGATTTTGGCATGGCTGAATTGAGAACAGCCTCCCGGATTCCTCCAGAGACTTTGACGGACGGCTGAGAGTGGGCAGTGACCTCCAACCGATGGCGGACGGTGGCAGGCGGCGGCGGCAGGCGGCGACAGATAACAACAAGCTCTGATAACACTGTTAGGATCGGATTCCATCTCCAACTCGGAACTCCAACCTCTAGACTAGACTCACACACACCACTCTAACTCTAGGGCTAGATCACTCCATATCCCATGTTTACTCACCCTTCTTCACTCCATGAAGGAACTCTCACACGAGGAAAGGAAGAAAAGGAGACTCAATGATATAGTAGGCTGCCTGCCTATTAGGCACTCACATGTGTGGCAGAGGACAATCACAGGTAAGGCTAAGACAAGAATAGAGCACTGCAGTGGACAACACACGAAGGGGCTCAAATAATATAAGTCAACATGCATCATTGAGAGATAGAGAATAATACCTCCAACAAGTTTTTTGAATCTTCAATATTCATATTTTGCCAAGTATGTGGCAATATGTGTTATACATGCGATTTTGTTATGGCAGAAAACATTTGTTTCTAAATTGATTTCAAAATTTTTCCAACTTTATAGCAATTTTTAAAATTGCTATGGCATAAATGTTCTTGCTTTGACGATCTGCCAACTTTAACGAACCAAAATGCCAATTATATGTTCATTTTGGGCTCAAGATGGCCAAATTATTTGATATTTTAATGTCAATTCAATGATTTTCTTATGCAATAAGATGACATTTTTGAGTATATAAAGGTGGCGGTGGCAGCAGTGGCGCTTCTAGGGGCGGCCTCTGCTAGTGGCAGCGGTGGTGGAGGGGTGGTGAAGTTGCCAGTGGTTTTGAGTGGCGACAGACTCATGATATTGAAAATGACGGAAGCTAGGATTCTGGGATGTCTTTCATTTTTATTTTTAATTATAAATTCATTTCTAATTTCATTAATGGTAAAATAGTCAAGTGAGTTCATTTTAGTCTTATGAAACATCAAATCCTATTTGGACACTTGTTCATCCTTAATTCCTTTTAGTCCCATTTAGAGAATTAACTCTTAGGTTATGTTTGGGAGTTTGTAGGGAAGAGGAAGGGAAGATTTTGGAGGTACGTTGTTGGAGGGGAAAGGAAGGGGAGGGTGAGGAAGCCCTTCTTTGTATTTGGAAGTAATAAAATTGGAAGAAGAGGATTTTTGAAGAAATTATAATTAAAATCACTTTGAGATGTGACGAATTCAAATCATTAAGCTGATATTCATTTTTAATTTAGCTTAAATTATTATCTTGTTAATTATCTTTCAAAACCCTCCAAATTGGAGTAACAAACATCAAACATTTGGAAGGTTTTGAATGATTACAAAAGCCCTCCAAAACATCTCCTCCAATTTTTTAAACTCTCAAACATAAGAAGGAGGATTATAAACCTCATTAACCTTCCCCTCCCTTCCAAAACTAACTCGGATGGAGTTGCTAATAGGAAGCCCACAATTCTTTTATTTTAAATCCCTTTTGTTCGTTTAAATGACTGGAACTCAAATTCCATATCTTTTATACTCCGTACCAAAGAGAAAGAGGCCCAGTTCACAGATTGCACGCAAGCGGTCTGGAGGTGCAGATGGGAACGGTAAAAGTAGGTGGTCTTTCATTTCCAATTCAGCTGCGATATTCAGTACCCGGAAAATGCAACACTTACCTGAACTGCATTCGATCAACTTCACAAAGTACTCCGGTCAAGTTGGCGGTGTCAGTTGATGAAATTCCTCCAAATTCGATGAGGCAGGCGAGTGAACCGCGTTGGAGCAGCACTGGCTTTAGCCTTGGGGTTGACTTGGGATTAAGCCGAACTGGTCTTGCTATTAGCAAAGGCTTCTCATTTCGTCCATTAATGGTAAGATTTGTGTGTGTGTGTGTTTCTCCCCAAGCTGAATTGCTTCTGGAGTTCTGGACCTGTATGTGTACAAGTTTTTGAAGCTATTTATGTTTATACGAATGCGGTGATAGACTATTTGATGTTAGGTTTTGGAATTGAGAGGCCAGAAGCTAGAAGATCGACTTGTTCATATTGCTCAGAAACAGGTTCCCTACACTTATATACCTCACTATAAGACTAGGATATAGGATAACTTCATTGTTTTGTGGGATGGACAAAAGCAAAAAGTGAACTATCTTTGCAGGACGAAGAAAAAATATATTTTATTGATCTCTTTATAATTATAGATAAGACTTGTTCATATGTTTTGTGGGATTGTGCTTAAAATCTACTATATAGATAAGACTTTTTTCTCCGTGACAATGATACTTTACTTGCATAATTAGCATAATGATATCAACAATGGGATGATGCTCTTGAATTAATAACTTTGTTCTGCATTTATTCTTTTATAGTTTCTTGTGTATAAATGTTCATGTATATGGACATTATTTTTCAATTAGGAGGTTGATGAGTTCATAGTTGGGCTTCCCTTATCCAGTGATGGGAAGGAGACTCCACAATCAAATAAAGTTCGAAGCATTGCAGGTAGACTAGCAGTTCGAGCAGCTGAGAGGTTATAATTTGGATATTAGATGGTTGATTTCTTATGGTGCATATTTGTACACAGAGCATACTTTTCATGTATCATTTCCACATTATTTGTGCTTAGTATTTAAGAAGGAGAACCTTGGTGCACCGGTTACGGTGTTGTTGTGTGTTTGAGAGGTCACGTGTTTAAGTCTTGGGAGCGGCCTCTTTGACAAGCGAAGACTTGCCCCTTATACACCTTTGTGGTGGGACCTTCCCCGAACCCAAGACTACCCTTTTAATATTGGCAAAATCCATAAGAATAATCCCTACTGAGAGTATTGATAAAAATAATTTGAACTAGAAATGGTGTTCACCGAAATAAATTGGGGTGAAATAAAATTAATTCCCGTTTAATACCTCCCAAACCCTACCCCCACTTTTTCCTTCCCTACTCTTCTTCTCAGGGTGAATTTAAACTTAGGCATTGTTTGAACTCACCCCAATTTACTCTTGTGGACACCATTGCTAGTTTCGATTATTTGTATGAACACTCTCAGTAGGGATTATTATTGTAGAATTTCTGAAAGTAAGGATTATTATTATGAATTTATAAAATTGCCCTAAATAGGAGTAAAAATAATCTGGAATTCCAAAATAGGACTGTCATGTTTTTATTCTCGAAATATGAGTAATTACTACCATGTTTTGGCAGTACTAGACTTTAAACGTGGCAATATTTTTCAAGTTTGGCAGTGATTACTTCTATTTAGGGAATAAAATCATGACAGTCCTATTTTGGAATTCCAAAACGTTTTTACTCCTATTTTGGGGATTTTCCCTATGAATTTCGCCTTTAGTATTTAAGCTGTTAAATACTTAAATATTAGAAATATGGTCAGATTTGCTGATGTCCACTGCTAATAAGCTTCTAGAATTCACGGTTTCTTAAAAGTACAGCTGTAAAGGTGTATAAACTATAAAGGTTCAGTTTGTTTAAAGGGAACATTTTTCTGCAAAATGTTTTATGCGCTAATATTCACTAAGAATGGGTGTGAGTATTGAAAAATGGTGTTTGCTTTTAAGGAAATCTGCTCTATCTTGGTAGTTTCAGCATCTTAGATCTATTAAATAGATCTGTTCTCCTTTCTTATATAGATTGAAACCAGAAAACTAGTGCTATTTTTTGTGTTTAGCTTGTGTAAACATTTGCTAGAAAAGATTTTTATGCGTTTGGCAACAGATTTACTTTGATTCTTTAGAGTTTTATGGAAGTTGATTTCTGGTATTGAAAACAGCAAGTTGTTATCTTGAGTCTGTTCTTTTTGCTCAAATTTCTGTGGGCCAAACAATATACGGAGTATAATACTCCCTCTGTATTACTTTAACTGGTACAATAGGCTTTTTACGCTGTTCGAAATAATGTTGTAGATTTACTGTACAATTTACCAGAAGTATGAGTTCTTATGTCAGGTAGTGGCAATCCATACTTTATTAAAGTGTACTATAGCTGCTTTTGGGGTAAATTTCTTTCCAAAAAGGAAATGTTACGATTAATGTGATAGTTGATACAGCCCGAAAAGGTAAACGAGACACTTAAATTGATACGGAGAGAGTACAACTTTTTCAGAAAAAACATTACTCTGAGAATATTTTTGAATTTTTTGTCTTGTAAAACATTTTACACAAGTTGTTTTCGCGAAAACAAACTGTAGAGTTATAGTTAGTAAATCATTTTTTTCATAATTGTAGGATATACGTCAGCATATTCAAGTTTTTATATCTATTTTGATCAGGAAATATAATTTTGTTCCACATATTTCCTCTCCTCATATGGGTTATAGATGCTCAACTTTGAGCAGTTCTTGAACTTTTACATTCAGCACTGGTATCTGTTTTAGGCAATTAGACTCGTGAAGAAGTCACTCTGAGAGTTTGAGGGATGCTGCCTGTAAATTTAATCTCTTGCATCATTCTGGGTAGCATCTGATGAACTCAATTGTGAACTAGGGGATGGAGAGTATACCTTCAGGATGAGTATGGCACATCAACTGAGGCTATGAACCACATGGTTACTATGTAAGGATATTATTAATATATATTTGTAACTGTATTCTTAATTCATAGTGTTCCCTAAGAAATACATGTTCCTTAACGAGAGGGTAACGTGCACCTAAATAATATCAAGAATTGAAATTACAGAAGAGCCAGATTAAAACTTGATATCTTTAAGTCTTATATGTTAAAGATAAGGGAAATCAACCCTTCAGGGTTGTTCAGTTGGTTTGAACCCTGGAGGGCCATTGGAGGTTTAACTGGTTCTTAACTTCAAGGCCCGCGGGATTATTCAGACAAAAGGTGGAACGAACACCCGCTTTAACAAAAATGTAAAAAAGATGAGAGAAATCTGACTATTGTGAATGTGTGACGTCTAGACAAAACATAAATAAAATTCCATTCTAAATGCCTTATGTAATTTTTTTATTTTTAAACTTTAGGTGTTGTGCGACAGATTAACAACGGTCACAACGATAAAAAAATTGTCACATTTCCCTTGCAGGGGCCTCAACAGATCAACTCGCAAAGGGAAGCTTGATGCATATGCAGCTGTGGTACATTTTTAGTTCTTTTCTTAATCTTCCATGCAAGTTTTGCTGGATGGTGTATGCACAATCTGAATAGCGAGCCTATCCATTTATCTATTTTTCCTCTAATGGACGACACAAGTATTTCACGTACACATTCAATCTCAATTTGTGTTTTTCTGTTGCAACTGCAGATGTTGCTCGAGAGATATTTCTCAATGGCAGGTCATGGAGTGGAACTTGTTGTACCCAAACAATCTGAACTCCAGATCAAGCTCAGGAAAGCCTCCTCTATGAGGACTGATATTTTTGAGGATGGATTTCAAAGTTGAGATTTAATTTCAAGTATGGGTACATAAGTACATTCAGTGTAGCCTTTAGAATTTTGTTTATATGGGCGAGCGGGTGAACGATTAACACCTTATTTAAGTATGTGGTATATTATAATTAATTAAAGTGGGATACCAAGTATTTCTTTTTTATCACTAAAGCCAAATTTGACACCATTAAGTATCTTGTAAACATTCTTTATTAATTAATCCATTGGCTCCATTCGAAATTACCGAGTTATTGTTTTGTAGTTATCATGTGTCATGTGTGTAAATGTACTTGTATTTGGGTAAACTATTAGAGCATCTTTAGTGGGAGAATGAATTGTTTAAAAATGAATTGTCACATCACATAAATAGATATTGAGGTTAAATAACCTTCTCCAAGGGACATGTGGAGTCCATAAACAGTATTACGGTACAACCGGCTGTACAGTGAGCAGCGTACAACCGGTGACATTTTTGTAATTTAAGTGAGCGTACATACCTTATGAAATGAGCATGGATAATTCAAAAAATTCATTTAAAATGTTTAGTATGCTCAAATATTAAATAAGCACACATCACTTACGAAATGAGCATTTCAGTAAAAAAAACTTACGAAATGAGCATCGAAAAAGTTAAAATGAGCATTACATATTTACATGCACCAATAGGCATGGATATGGATGGACCGGGACCGGGCCGGGGTCGGGTCAGGTCGGGTCTTACATATACATTTTTTTTAAATTTTGTTTTTCTTATTTATTCCTATCCCAAATCACCCTGCTCAACCCGCCTACCACCCAATCCATTCGAAAAAATAAAAAAAATAAAAATAAAAAACCCGGATGTCTACTGCTCTCTATTTTCAGAATGCCTTTCTAACAGCCTAGTCATCAAAAGTTTAATTTCCTGGGATGCTTATGCTGATTACTCATAAAATAATACAGAGTAATAATAATAAAATCTTACGGTCTTACCCCATGCACTCTCACTTTCATATAATTCCAATTCCAATTATATATTACACTATCTAATTCCAATTCAACCTGCAGCGGTGGGTATATTAGTATATATGCAACGGTGTATATTTTTTTGACCAAAAAAAATTATTAGCAAATACTATCCTCCGTTCTGTTTCAATCGCAACATGTTGAATTTTACACTATTCACATGCTCTACTTTGACTACATTTTCCGCTATTGTTTTATGAAAATTATATTTTTTAAAAAATATTGTTCAATTCATTTCATTACAAATTTTCAAAATCTGATTTTTTAATATTTTTTTACTAATAGAATTAAGATATAATTATGGTCAAAGACGTGCGTTGACAAATGTGAAATGTTGACCGTTGCAACTAAAAAAGAACGGGGGTAATAATAACATACAAATATTTCAACACGACTTATATACCAAATATAGAATAGAACATACGACAGTTTTTAGTTCAACGATGTGGTGTACGAAGAGTTAAATTGAGGACTGCATTGGAGTTTAAATATTACTTTAAATGTGTGTCTGTCCACCTTGGTTTCATATAGAACGTCTACATCGGTGACATGTCCATTTTTATGGGATGCAATCCACGTTAGTTAGATGCTCTTGGGCGATTAGTCCTAAATGTTTGAGCTATGTTACACCCTGAATTGGGACATATAATTGATTCTGGTATTGCTTTGCTAACTCCAGAGATCTGCTATTCCCTTCGGTTTGGATTCTCTACATACCAATCCTTAATGAAGAGCTGCATCCCACGGTACATTTAATTAGCTCTTGATCCCGTAGCAGTGCCATTTGATCAACTAATGATGTTTTTACTTGGACTGTAATTCGTCACAGACCATATCAGACCAGACCATATCAGATCAGACCAGACCAGTTCAGACCAGACCAGACCAGACCAGACTTGGATAGTTATAAAAATACAAAGAAACCAGACCAGACCAGACCAGATCAGTTCAGACCAGATCAGACCAGATCAGACCATCAAATTATAATCCAAGTAAAAACATCATAAGCTTGGAGGAGAATGTTTAACCGAGGAAGAGAAGTCACGTAATGAGTGATTTTCATCTATAGTAAACGACCCTACTACTGGAAGGGAACAAAAAAGAGTTATGACCGACAAAAGATTCACATGAGATCTCTCGGTTCATTTGGATTCTGATTTTTAGGTCTGGTTTAATTCATTGATTATGGGGGTTTTTATTTGAACTGGAATTTTCTGGTCTGGTCTGGGACTCCGATCTGGTAAATGTCTGGCCACGGTGTAATTTACAATAGTTGAGATATATAGTCTAGTCTGATCTGAGATGGAAATAAATCCAAGTAAAAACATCATATATAATTCTCGGATCAACGGTTGAAGTTCAAGTGAACACGTAATAACACTTAGGTACATTAAAACAAGGCGAAATTCACAAGAATAATCTCTACTTTTATGCATTCCACAATAATAATCCTTACTAAGAACCTCCATAAAAATAATCCACACTAGCAATAATGTCCATACGAATAAATTGAAATGAATTCAAACTAATGCTCATTTAATACTCTCAACCCCTACATCCACTCTCATTCACCACTCTCTGTCTTGGTTAACACTTTTATATTCAAACCTAGAGACAACCATATATGGTTGAAATGGTGTTGATATTAAATACGGAGTAGGTTTTAGTTTGAATTTTCCCTGAGAAGAAGAGCGGGGAAGAGAAAAGTGAGAGTAAAGATTGAGAGTATTAAACGGGCATTAAATTTGATTCACCTCAATTTATTCTTATGAACACTATTGCTAGTTCGGATTATTTTTGTGAAAACTCTGAGTAGGGATTATTATTGTAGAATCTGTAAAGTAGGAATTATTATTATGAATTACACCTTAATTAAAACAACACTACATCAACAATGGACTCATATTTGGACCATTGGTCCAAATGCTTCATTTCAATCGAGAATAACAGACATGATGAAAATGCTTGGTGGATAGGGAAACATTCGAATCCAAATAAATATTTTGGATCCTAAGTTCTTATATCACCTATAGTTCAAAGGTGTTATACTTTGGATCCTAAGTTCTTACATTCAGAACCAAATGAGGGGATTAAAATAGAAAAGGGAGTGGAAGGTGTTGGGATTGGAAAATTCTTCTATTCAATATCAAGAACAGAATTACAATAGGATGAGCAAACTCTCACACTCAACTATTACAAAAAATCAATCCTCACCAATACACTCCTACTCTAAGTGTATTTCACTCTTCACAAACTTTTCTCACTTTCTAAACTGATGATATGAACAACAATAGAACACTCTATTTGTAGGGTTGGTTTGGAGACAAGAGGTAGTGCTTCCATCTTCTCCATATCTTCTTCCCATTTTCATTTGTTGGAGAGCTCCTTCCAAGAAGGTGTGAGATGCCTCTTGGCAACTTCCAAGAAAAAAGGTGGAAATTCCCTACAAATCTCCCCCTCCACCTTTTTCTTTGTTTCTATCATTCCTGCGATGCTCGCTGGCTCCCCCTCGCTGGCAACAAGTATCCATTCGGATATGGAATACTTTCTCTGTGGAACTATGCCTCGCATAGAACGTCGAACATGAATACCTTCAGATTCGTCTTCAGATGAAGGCTCCCCCTGCTGAGGAATATCATCACTGTGAGCATCATCATCACTAACTGAACCATCACTCTCTTGTTCAGTAGTATCATGCATCTCCTCGTCGCTGAGAGGAATGTTTGATGACACAGGCACTTCGTCTTCTGGAGTATGTTGTGTGCTGATGATTGGGGCACACTCATGAAACTCATTTTCATGGAATACAACATCTCTGCTTCGTACAACTTTCTTCACTTCGGGATCCCACAACTGGTATCCGAATTCTTCATCTCCATAGCCGATGAAAATGCATGAGTTTGATTTGAGATCAAACTTCTGTCTCAACTCCTTGGACACATGTGCAAATGTCTTGCACCCGAACACTTTCAAGTGAGAGTAAGAAACATCTCCTCCTGGCCATTTCTTCTCTGGCACTTCAAAGTTTAAAGGAACAGAAGGTGACCTGTTTATAAGATAACAAGCTGTCAGCACAGCTTCAGCCCAGAATGGCTTCGGTAGTTTAGCCATACTCAACATGCAACGAACTTTCTCCACAATGGTTCTGTTCATTCTTCCGACTACACCATTGTGTTGTGGAGTTCGTGGAACCGTCTTCTCATGTCTGATTCCATATGTGGCGCAATATGCTGAGAATTCCCTGGAAGTGTACTCTCTTCCATTGTCTGAACGTAGACACTTCAGCTTCTTCTATGTTTCTCTTTCTACCATGGCATGAAATGATTTGAAACGATCAAACACTTGATCCTTACTCTTTAGACAGTAAGCCATACCTTTCGTGATGCATCATCAATGAATGTCACAAAATATCTGCTTCCTCCAAGTGACTCCTCTTCAATGGGTCCACATACATCTGAGTGGACAAGACTGAGTAACTGTGAATGGTTCTTCCTGGTAGAACTGAAGAAAACTCTGTGTTGTTTCCCAAATAGACAGTGCTCGCATGGATCTAGGGCAACACCTCTGCCCAAGGAATTGATTTCCTTCTTTGCAAGAGTTGTCAATCCCTTCACACTCAAGTGGCCTAACCTCCGGTGCCACAAGTTTGGTGATGTCTCTTCTTCAACAACATTGAGACTTGGATGACATAGCTTTGCATGGGTTTTATAAAGAGTACCACAAATATGACACGTTGCAACAATCAAGGAACCTTTAGATAGCTTCCACGTACCTTCTTTGAAGCGGTTAAGATATCCTTGTTGATCTAGAGTTGTACCGGAGATAAGATTCAATCTAAGATCCGGAACGTGTCGAACATCTTTCAACACAAGTGCGCATCCGACATTGGTTGTTATGTGCACATCACCAATGCCAACAATCTTTGAGAAACTGGTGTTTCCCATCTTCACAGCTCCAAAGTCTCCGGACTTATAAGATGTGAATAAGTTCTGGTGTGGAGTGACGTGAAATGATGCGGCTATATCAACCACCCACTCAACATCATGAGTACCTACGTGTAAACATTCTTGTTCACCATGTGTAACAAGTAACATGTGTGATGACAAACTAACCATGGTCACACCATCTTCTTGGCTAGTATTTTGACTCGTCTGTGGCTGTTCTCGTAGAAACTTTCTACAATCTCTTTTTCTATGCCCATAATTACTACAGTAATTGCAATATCCTTCAAACCAAGTGTTGTTTTCAAAGGACAT